AGCCGGGACTGCTGTAACCGCTTCTGTCTCCAGACTTGGGCTGCTCACCTGAAGTTTGCAGACAGAGGGAGGCAAGCATGAGGTAAGAAATCCGGGCACGTAACCCCTTCCCCGTTCCCTGCCTGCCTTTACGGGGTCCCCAGGGCCCACCCGCTACTCCTTGTGCAGGGGGGAGATGGCTGCACTCTTCATTTTTGACTGAAAACTGTGATTAAAGACAATTTCCCAGTATCTCAGAAGGAACATGACATTCACTGTCCACTGAAACTCCCCACCCAAGCGTGACACTAGCACGCGTGATGAATTACAGACAAAAGACACTCAAACAAAACCGTTTTCTTCTATTAGAAGTCTGGAAGCGTTTTTATAAAATTATGTTATGTAATTAAATAAGGCTGCTCTCTGAGCATCCTAGCACTGTCCCTGGTCTGAAAAAAAAATGGAAGAAGAAAAGAAAATTCTTAACCATCACCTTTCTCAGACTTCGCTGCTGCAGGAGGTGGTTTTTTCTGCTCCTTTCTGCCTGTTTAATGAATGAGAAAAATGCTTAAACACAATAAAGCTGGAAACTTAATTGATTTAAGGTTTTACACAGCTCTGGTTAAGTACGAAAAATACATATATTCAGTGAAAAGCACCGTTTTATTGGAAATTCACAGTGCCTGATGCTTTCTGGGGTTTTCTTCTCTGATAATAACAGGCTATCTCCATTCCTGCAATTGAAGAATTGATCCTCTTGCCCCTGGCCTTTGCGAAAGATCGTCGAGAGAAAAGGAATAGATGGATTAAAAAAAAATAAATGGAGCTGCTGAAATCTTCCAAATTGGAGGATATCTCAAAGAGACAAAGCAACTGGCCTCTCCTATGCACTGGCAACTATACCGATGGAGGAGATAAAGCAGCATCTGGAAAGGTTCATTTCAGGGAAACCATCCCTAGCTCTGCGCCCGCAGCCCCGTGACGAGGCCGAGCAGCTCCGAATCACCACGTTGATCTCCACCTGCGTGGCGGAGATCCCCAGCCTGCACGGGGGGAAATTTGTTCGCCGCCCCCATGTAATGGCACAGAGAGTCCAGGAGCGCCACCGAAACGGAGCCTCTGGGGTGGGAGACGCAGCATGGCGCCGCTCCCACCATGGCTTACCGGAGCCGGGAGGTGTCTTGGGGGCCGTGGGAGTCTTTGCCGGGATGCGCGTGGCGTTGGTCGAGTTCCTCTGAGCCTGCCCGGCCGCAGACCGCGGTGTGGCCGTCTTCGTGCCGCCTCTCATCTCCGGGCCCTGGGGAGGCGAGGGGGGAAAGGCTGATGCAGGGGGGATCTGCATGGAGACGGGCTGTCACCCCTCAGGGGTCGGAGCCACACGAGACCCTCCTGCTCGCCACCCTGCTGGCTCGCAGGAGCTCCCACGGGTTTCTGCATTTCTCCTGTTCCGCTGACTTTTTGTACAGAAGATAAATAAATAAATTCATTGACCAGGCTGGGGGCTCCACAGAGGGGTGCAGTGCCTGGCTCCAAACACCCCCTTTATCCCACTATAATAAACTAGTGTAACACGTACATCACCCGTAACGGCAGGTAAATACCAACACGCTTGTGATCCTGCAGGAAAACCCTCCCCAAATCTATTACCGCAAAGGGAAACTCCAAACAACTTTGTACACGGCAGAACAAGCCATGGATGTGCGTGTGTTTCCTACTCTCGGTGTAGCACCTGGCAGATCTGGCAGCGGCACATTTCAAATACATCTGCTGTTCACAGCCAACGCACCTGTAAAGCACAGCATAAAGCTGCAAAAATAAAGCATGAACGAGCACAAAGGGACCTGGGAATGTCTCAGGGAGACCAGGTAACACTCTCTGGCAAGGAGGTGGTTTTGCCGTAACGCAGAAGCAAATGTTTGTTGTGTTACAGCACAAATGTGTTTGTGAGATGGACTCAGATGCTTCCAACATCAAACCTGGAGCTAAATCTGGCTACGGGCACTGGAAGGTGAAGGAGAAGCACATTAGCTCAGTCAGTTGAGCGTGGTGCTGATAACGCCAAGGTGGCAGGTTCGATCCCCACTCGGTCCCCACGTGTTGCCTGATCTAGCTGAGAGGCGTCCCGGCCCACGACAGGGAGGCTGGATTAAATGATCTCTAAGGTCCCTTCCAGCCTAGGCCAGTCTATGCTGCTGCTGATCATGATTCCACCCACTGCACTGGGGTGGAGAGAAACTGCCCGAACGAGTGCTGCCGGCTGTCAGGAAGGCCTCCAGGTATTCCCCGAGGCAGCTTTGCCTCTCTCTCTCTCACATCCCATTTCCTTACCTTGGCTTTCGTTTCTTGCATTCCTGTACTGGCAGGTCGGGATGTGACAGAAGAGACTCGTTTAGAGGCGGGAGCAGGGCTGGAGGGTGTTTTCGAAGGGGTTGTGCTAGAGGAGGTGTGTCGTTGGGGGGGGATGGAGGGTCTATCGCCTGGGGATTTGGCAGTGGAAGGTGAGGATTTCTTAAAACACGGAAACAAAATAAAAGCGGAACACAAAAAAAAATCAGTATGGGAGGAAAACGAAAGGGGATCGCTGATGTTAAACAGGGTTAGAAGGTGCAATACGGAACTGGGTGTGGGGCAGGCTCCTCTGGCAGCACAGAGCTGGGCAAGAGCTCAGGGGCTCACGGCTGCACCGGCGAGTGGGGGATCCCTCGGCTCTACTCCTACCACCCACTCCTGTCTGCAGAAAGCCCCGTGAGAGTTGGCTGTCGCCCTCCACGTCAGCGGCACATTTTACCACAGAACTGCTCTACTAAACCCCAAACTCTCTCTGTGCTCCACCTGCAAAGACGGCACAGGGGCAGCGCTACCGACGCCGGCACTTCTGGGGGACGCCGAGGACTGCTCCCAGGTCTCCCAACCCCACCTGCTTTGTTGATAACAGAGCACTGGTTTTTTATTTAGACGATTGCTCGGCATCGTGTCTAAAGCAAAGCTTCGTGCAACCCTGACAAATCTCCCTAAAGGCCTGATTACGCATTGTTTGAAAAAATTATATTCCTCACCTTTAATTCTTCACTCCCTAAATGGTCCATCAGCTTGTCCATCACCTTGCCCAGGCACCAGCCAGGCTCATGACCAGCTGAACTAAATCTCCAAATTAGCGGTGAGACAGACATCCTTCAGCTTCTGCAATTTACCCACTATTAAACTCTGTTCTTCACCTGCATCTGCAAGGCCTGTGTTATTTAATTTAATTTTTGAATTACGTGTCTTGCCCTTTTCACTGCTATGCTGCTCATCCCCAGCAGAGCCCGACTCAGTTTTGAGTTTGCTTTGGCGCCGCTTTGCCCCAGCTGTCTGCTTCCCAGTCTTGGGCTGAGAAGATGGTTTCTCCAACCACCTGCTCAACCTCGTGAGCCACGTGTTTGTTTTAGACTCAGTTCGCTTTCTCACCCTCAAAGATCGCCACGGATTGCACCATCCAAACCAGGGTGAGGGAAATAAAAATCAAACCACTTTCGAAAGACAGAGGGAAGAATGGCAGAAAATGGCAAGGGTCGCTAAGAGGCACCCAGGAGAGGGAGTCAGGAACACACAGAGCACTCAGACGGTCGGTGTCACCTAGTTTGGGGTTTTTTTTAGCTTACCTTCGGTTTCTTTTCCTCAGCTTCAATCCCTTCCTTGTCTTTGCTGTCAATACGACCTGGCCAATGGAAACACACACAGTTACACTTCTAGGGATTGGAGGCTGAACTCCAGAGAGATGGTGATGTCTGAGCTACAGCAACACGTGTGCTGGGCGGGAGTTCCACGCTCCTCCTCTCCTTTAAATTAAGCACTACTCTTAGGAACGTTAAAAAGTCACTTATTTCTTGCAGAAATGCTTCCACTCTGTAAACACATTCTTTCCGGGTTAATCGATTATTCTGTGCACAGGCAGCAGCTCATTAGTCATCGCTGGAGCATCAGAAAAGGATTGTGTGAGACTGTTTTGCCCAGATTTGGACTCAGTTCCAGCAGCATCTGTTTGGTTTAGGACAGAACAGTTCTCTTCAAACCTCAACACGAGTCTCCCTCTCTCCCTAAAGCACCCAGGACACCCCAATCCCAGCAGTGTCAGGCTGCCCGTGGTCTCATCTGAAGTTGTTGTTTGGCGTGTTAGCTCTGCAACGTGTTTTTATACCCGGCCGTGGTTGATTCCCATCTCTCCTGACACCCAGCAGACTTCGATCCGGGCCAGTCCCTGCAGGGTCTGAAGGTTTTATCTGTTGTCCTACTTGATTCATATCAAGCCTACAGTGACCCTGACTCTATTCCAGTGTTTTGTCCCATTAGTCTACAAGCACAAGACGGCAGTATTGCTAATTAGGGGATTAGAAACAGAGAGGAAGTGAAGTTGTACTATAAGGCACTCATAACAAACCCCCTTTTCCCCGTCTTCAGCTAAGTCCTCCTTAATCTGGGAGGAAAAGCTGCTGATATTCTCCCCAGTGTTTTGGAAACTTGTCCTCGGGGGAGGCGAGCCCTCTCCCAGTGACATGAATGATGTTGTTGATCCAGCGATGACCAACCCCAGAGCTGCTGGATGCGTCACCCTTCCCAAATTCAGTTAAACTGCAGATCAGAGCGAGGCTGGAGCCGAACAGCCACAAATTATCTCTGTCTTTGAAGGAAAAGACTATTAAATAATTAAAGGAATTCCTTCTGTCGAATCAGAAACTGGTGGACTCTGGGCAACGCATCCCCAGCCCGACACCGTTTCCAGGCTCGGGTGCGAGCGGCAGCGAGCTATGCCGATGCCCCGCGAAGCTTCCCGACGGCTTATTAGGGAGTGAACGACGAGAAATGTGTTATGAGCTTTACCTCCAACGGAAAAAAAGCTACATCAACAATTTCTTCGTGAATGCCACACAGCAAAGGGTGCACTCGCTCTGCCGCAAACCAGAGCGGCGTTTCCAAGCTCACGGAA